ATTTCCATAAGTTATATAACATGCTGTCTTACAAACTCTATACTGATGGGTTCACAACAAATTAAAAACATCCTGGAAAATTGCATGAAATTAAATTGTTTTTAAAATCTAGACATTTCTGAATTTCATTTAACTAGAAAAAATGAAACAAGAAGATGAAAAAGATAAATGTTAGTTATGTGTTATGTTGATAGAAGATTTTGACAAACTCTATACTGATGGGTTCACAACAAATTAAAAACATCCTATGGAAAATTGCATGAAATTAAATTGTTTTTAAAATCTAGATATTTCTGAATTTACTTGAAAAGGCAAGTAGAAGAAATAACTAAATGGTGTCTGCTTTATGTGTTATGTTGATAGAACCTTTTGTAATGTGAATTTATTTGTAAATTTGAATTTGATGTACCTTTTATACAAGTCAATAGCTCTTTCTTCATTTGAAAATTTCAGGAATGGGTAAAATACAGAAAAGGGAGACAAGCAAGTAAGTCTTCAATGGTAGAAATTAATTTTTTTGTAAGGATTACCTAACTTTAATTTTGATGCATAATTGGAGTTCAGGTATTCCTTGTTTTCATAACCATGATTTTCATGTTTTGTTTTAATTGCATATAAGAAGATATTAAAATGTTTGCAAGGTTCTTAATTTTTATTTGGGTAAAACTTTGTAACAATGTTCAGATATAAAAATATTACAGATTAATTATTTTCAACTCTGCCATCTAGTGGCATTTCAGAAGATTCAGCATGTATTGAATGTTTCTATTGGTCGAGTGATATTTGAGGCGTGGCATACACACACGTTGGATGCTCGTAGGCAGCGGGAATACTTCGAGGTATGTTTGCTAATTTTAGACATTGACAAACAATATTTATCTCCCCTTTTATCTAAATTCATTATGCAGAAAAATCTTCTAGTTGTTTTCTTTGATCATGTATAATAATATATATAATATCATAAATTGCACTTAATTTCATCTTATCTGTCACTTAAAGCATATTTTTATAGTATGTTTTTTCATATCTTGTCATATTGATCTATTACTTTTTTTTAACATTAAAATTTTTTTAAGCAAAGGTGATTGGAAGATTGAAGAATTAATTACTGATATTTTTGCTATTTTTTCAAAACTTTCTGCTTTGTTTTTCTTTGCATTGATTCACATTTTCAGTCTGTAATATTGACTTCTTCTAATCTTGCAGGGGGTAAAATAGAATAAGTTCTTATCAGTTTTTAGCTTGATGGGTGCACTTGAATTATTTAAAAAAACAATAATGGGTGCACTTGATTTATGAATGTGGTAATAAAAGGATTTATACTGTGTCTCATGGATTTTGAAAGTCACATTTTTTATTATGACGATTTGAAAATAACACGTTTTAAGAGTACATTAGCTACTTTAAGCTGTAGTACTAGTTGAGACTTGATACAGACAAAAAAAAAAAACACAAAAAAAAACACATGAAAATGTGATTTGTTAAATTTGGCCCTGAGATGATTACAGTTACTGTCATTTGAAGACAATCATGTCTATATAGGGTGTTGAAATAATATACCCCTTTTCCTTCTAATACATTTTTTTTCTTGCTCGATCATAAAGATTTAATATGAAAAAGTCACTTTTAAATGTTTTAAAAAGGAAAAAGAGATGAATTTTGATATGTTTGTTTGCAATAAACACTGCTTTTTGTTTCTTGCATGACACACGCTATTTTTCTCTAATTTGAAAATAGAATAACAAAGTTCTTATTCAGCTTTTCACTGTTGACGTTCTATTATTTAAAAAAAAAAGTGACGTAGATTTATAACGTGGTAATAAAAAGATTTAATGTGTCCATGATATAAAGTCGGAATTCAATAGACGATTTAGAAATAACACATTTACTTTAGTTTGTAGTCTGTTAGAATCGAAATAAAAAAATCACAAAATCAATGATATGTTTTTGTCAAAATTTGGCCGTTCGGATGCCATCAATTATGTCACGAGGGCATATTTCTGATATAATTCTCGAATAAACTAAACTTGAGAGTTTTGAGAAAAACACTGTTTGCGGATATAATTATTTTAATTATAATGCCAGAAAAATTTATCTAATGATATTGTGATCATTTATGAAAAAAAATGTTGAACTAAATTTAGAAGAGAAAATTGTCAACTGTCATCATAAGGCATGTCAATGTTATTTTCCTAATACTTGCGTGTTTGTTTTATCACACTTTTGAGCTCTTTTTTTTTTGTAAGTTTATTTTAAGGATATACTGCGATTTATGTAAGGTTAAACTTCTTTCTAATGTGTCATTGTTTAGTTTAGACCATGGCTCCATATGTTCGATTTCGCAGCATATAATCCATGTATAATCCATGTATTCTGCATAATTGTGTCACATTTTATCATGTAATCATCCACAGGCTGTACTACACATTTCTGTTTAACAAGTAATTAATGCAATTATAATAATCAATATTTAACATGTTTATGGTTGATTTTTGTTATATCGCACCTAGGCCGGGCTACATGTGGGTATTCATAATGTCGTAAATCATAGTCGATTTTTTTGTTGTTGTTGTACCACTTTTTTCTTTTTTATTGTAATCTTTTTGGTGTTGTCACACATTATGTACCTTCCAATGGAGAGCTTAATGCAAAAAGATCTTAGCTCTGTTATCATTACATTGTATGTATATGGTACAAGTTTAGTTTAATTGCCTTAAGCTCTTAAAATAGCCTCTACACCTTTTTGGTTTTCTTTATTGAAAATTCACTGTCAAGAGTATTGTAGTGAAGTCTCTAGCCTCACATAAATATTTGAACATATGCATGTTTAAAATACACTTTGCATTATGACATGGTCATTCAAATAGAATTCATTTGAAAGACCCTGATTATAGTCGTATCTTTCTAGCTTTTTTATTTTAAAAAAGTTCTTTTTCAGGGTTTTTTTTTGCTCTGAACTTTATCATCAACCTACATTAAATGTTATACAGGAACTGAAATTAAAATCTGATGGGACACAAAGCCATTCCATTTAAATTTGAAGTAATCAAATTCATAGTACTGACATTTTAAAGTTCATTGATAGATCAAATAACGAAAAGGGAGTGTGAGTTGTTTGTTAAGGTTGCGAACTTTAACCCTTCACCTCTTTAGGTTTGAAACTGCCAAGGACATAGAATTTATCGCATGTCAGATAGCTGGTTTAAGTTATCTTATCAAGTGCCCATCTGGCCAGAAATCATGCTTGTCGCAGCATTTCAGTGATCTCCTTCAACTAGTAAAAGCTGTAAGACAAGCTAAGATTGTTATTTAATTTTCATCTTGTTCATCATTCTGTCTTAATTAAATCATTTCTTGATCAAACATTTGTCATATTTTATAGATTCTCTTTAAACATCCTACAAATTTTGTTGTGAAATGAGAAGATTTGTATCACACAAGATCAATTGTTCAAAGGTCACACATAGAGGTCATAGGCAAAAATGGGGAATAATCTTTGCATTCAATTGCTTAAAGGTCACACATAGAGGTCAAAGGCCAAAAATGGGGAATAATCTTTGCATTCAATTGCTCAAAGGTCACACATAGAGGTCAAAGGCCAAAAATGGGGAATAATCTTTGCATTCAATTGCTCAAAGGTCACATATAGAGGTCAAAGGCCAAAAATGGAGAATATTCTTTGTATTCAATTGCTCAAAGATCACACTTAGAGGTCAAAGGCCAAAATGGGGAATATTTTCAGCATTCAATCCATTACTTTTCATAAATGTTTCATCAACATAAGTAAATATAAAGATTTAATTATGTCACAAGTATAGAATCAGGTCAGTCGGCAATGCCATAATGTCTCGAACCAGACACTACTGTCGGCTGCTGAATTGTAACAATATGATGTAGTATAAATCTCAATAACAAATGGTAATCACAATTCCATAGTATGTCACGTCAGACATTCAAAATAAAAGGTAAATAGACCCTGAAACTAGAAAACTGTGGAATACAAGGAAAATATATACTTTTATTTTTGTACTCTTTATTTTTTCAGGCTTTTATCGCATATAATCTTATAATAAAGGTGTACTCATATCATGTAAAGGTTTCATATCTAACTGAAATACTTGTTTTTCACAGATGACGTTGGTCAGTGTAATCATGTATATAAAAAACGGGTATCTGCAGTAACTAACCCCACTCTGTCTAGTTCAGTATGTCCCATGACACTGAAAATCAAGAATAATGACTAATAATTATAACCGATGAAATTATTTCGGCTTTTACCATAGATAAGTACAATTATATTTTCCAATACCGGCTGTTCAAGACTTATAAAAAACGGCCAAATACATAACGATTTTTATGGTTACTGTAATAAGGTCACTAAGGAACTGGTATAAATTATGGTATAATTAAATCCAACGAAAAAGCTTTTATAAAAAAATTTGGGAAAATAGTTCTAATACACTAAAGGGTGATATACATTGGTAGTTATTGCAAATCATATTTCTGAAAATATTTTTTTATAACATTTGGATTTTTATAATGTATTCACTAAAACGGGGACACAAGAAATCATCAGAACAAAAAATAACTGTATGGATGGCACCTATTGTTTATGAGGATAACCCTCTTTAATGGTCTCTTCTCTGGGTTTTAATGGATCTGATCTGGGACATGTAAATGTCTAAGAAGCTTATCAGCATGTTATTTGAGGATGGGTGGTTCTACTCAAGTGAAGTGTCATGCTTAGAATAATTCAGTTAAAATAGTACAAGGTATATATTTATTTATTTTTTTGAAAAGAAGACCATTAAATTATTCCATGTTGTAAGCAACATGCTTCTTCCGAACTTCATGAATTTAAAGAACAAGTTTGCCAGTCCTTATTATTTGACCCTCGGTTGTTTACTATAGTTAACAATTTTCCTAAAGCAACATAATTCTAAACAACAACAATACAAGAAGAAGTGCAGATATTCTTGATTTTCAGTGTGATTCTTTTATTGCTGTGGTGGTCAGAAAATATTATACTAAAAAAGCAGAATCTGTTCTCCTGTCTTGAGATACGATTGATTTTACATGACATTGTGCAGTTAAAGCCTGAGAGCTCGAGAAAATTGAGCTGAAAAAATTTTGGTTTTATGCGTTTTTTTGTGAAACAGTATAATACTGGTTATATACATGTATTTCTGATTTTTATCAGTCTGTATTTTTAAAAAAGATGAATATGTTAAAATAACTCCACTGAGACCTAAAAGCGCAAAAAAACCCATAAAATTTGAATTTCTTACATAGATGTACTTGGGCATTTAAAACAGAAAGATATGCAAAGGATAATTAAGAAAGTTACTCAGGAATAAATTAAAAATCGTATTTTTGTGCTATTTTTAGCCAGATTTGGGTCACTTTTTACAATGAGAATAATTATTCTGGAAAAAACGGAATGGGCAAATAATCTGAAGTTAAATTGCACACAAATTCTTGGTCTCAAACTTCATTAAATGGAATATTTATCTCGAAAAAGATTATCTCCAGTCCCATTATGTCCAAAAACCTCAGTGGAGTCGCTTTAAATATATGAAAAATTACTACAGATAACTGAAAAAAACAGGGAAATTATTCTACTAAAAGCTATTCCTTGGCTAAATTTAGGTAAAAACACTAAAACAGGTTAAAAGTTTGGATTATTTGGGTAAGACTAAAGTTTTCAGCTCAGTTTTCAAGTGATGAATGATGTTTATATTAATCAAGCAGGTTTTGTCAAGCATGTGACATTTCTTTACTCAGAAATTTTTTATTTCAGCCATAATAATGCATTCAATGTAATTTTGAGAAATTTGTTGCTTCTTTTTTATGTGTTTGCTTTAATTGTTGTCCAGAAGTTTTGAATTATATGCTTAATATATTTTAAGATTTAGTATGAGCAATTTTTTTCTAGACTAATGTTAAATATAAGTCAACATCAAAGGACAACAAGTGAAAGATTCTTTTTATCACATAGTATTATTATACAACTATAAAATGCCAAAAACAGGAAATATCATCTACAGTATTTTGAAGTGCAAGTTCAAAATATTTAGAATTTGAAAAAAAAACAAACAAAAAAAACAAAAAACAAAGC